AGTAGTTTGTTGAACTCCTAGACTCCTAGTTAGTCCATGCTTCAACAGTCTGATTTGGTATGCAGGGGAAATGATATTTTTGATGCCACTGCAAAATGTCTACTGCAAAATGTCCAGAGATCTGCCAGTAGATCCTAGTCTATCATTGGTCCCAACCTGCAGGCTATGAAAGGTTTCCAACCCTGCTTAGCGGCCTGGGCAGAACTCATTCTGGAAAGGCAGGGATACATTTGTGGCCAAATGCAAACTAGCTGGCACACCCAAAGAGGGTTGAACTCCTTGTTTATCAGCCATGTCTTTAGCAGCCATGCTTCCCCCCACACACACACACATGTGGTGTAACATGTGACCATGGTTTGGGGGAAATGCCCTGGTAGGGTAAGTTGGGCTGAAAGTTTTGCATTCCTGCTAGAAAGGAACTAAAATGAAATTTATTAGATGCACAGACACGTCCACAGTGGTGGAGCTACCTGCTCTGGCACCAGGAGCGTGTACATCCTGGGGCGTGGCTGGCACGTATCCCGGGGGCATGGCGCACGTCGAGGGGTGCGTGGAAAGTGGCACGCGTCCCGGGGTGTGTGCGGCAAGCGGTGAGCGTCCTGGGAGGCGGGGGTGGCCGCGATGGCACCCCCCGGGATGGCACCCGGTCGGACCACCCCCATTCGTCTGCCAGTGCACCTCCAAAATGTCACAAGTTGACTGTACACTATGCAGGAGATCTGTGCATGTCTAAGACCAAACAGGTGCTTCAGGCTTCACTTTGGAGCTTGAAATGGCTGCCCTAGAAGTCATTGGCTTCATTGGAAATTAATTTGGAAGCTTTGGTAGAACCTGGGAGGGTAAAGATCTAGGTTAACTCTCCCCCCCCCCAATAATAATTGCAGAGGGAACATCAGTTCTACTATCTCAGTTGCTCTCGGCATGAAGCTGAGAGCCCAGAAAGTCTGCTCCTGTAATTTAAGATTATGCAGCATGCTAACATTTCTACACCCCTTTCATTGAGTATGTTCGTCCATGTGCATCGAAGGGGACCCATAAATTAATACATGTATGCCATCTGTCCAGAGACAGCTTCCAGACCTACCTTTTAGCCACCTGCATCACCAGCTCTTCAAACACTCCAGATCAGTTCACAGATCGTTGATGGGCTTTGGAGTCAAGCCTATCAAGGAAGCCCTCCTTGAATCCTCTTAAGACATGTCTCAGAAGGCTAATCCTGTTAAAGCCATGCCGTTCCTTTTGCAGAGAACCAACTGACAGTGATCACTGCCAGGAAATGGCAAAGATCCAGCTTCTCTCAAGGTTGAGCGCTTTAAAAGAATGATTTGAATCAAGAGATTGAAAAAGATCTAAGATTCTCTGGTACTTTAGGCCTACAGAACAGTCTAGGTTTTTTTCTTTTTCTTTTTTCTTTATTTATGTTAGAAGAGCTGGCCCATGACATTTTGCAGCCTGAGGCGAAGGACCTACCGCTGTTGCTTCTTCTGCTCACTGATCCCATATACAAGAGCTGAGCAGAGTCTGTAAGACTCTGAAGTTTAAAACAGTTGTGGAGTACTTGTGTTCCTCCAGATGTTCCTATCAGGGCAAGTGGGTGGGCTTTTCCCCACCTCTCTTTGCTAGATGCCACACCCTCCTTGGAAGGGGAACGATAGGCCGTGGCGGCTGGGTACATGAGAGTTGTGTGTCTGAGCTTTTGGAGTGAGGCTCAGATTTCCAGACACACAGGCATGTCTGCTCTGTGCCAGACTTTCAGCTCCAGGGGAGTCTTTAGCGTATGTGCTGCCAGGGTACAAAGATCCGCCCAGAGCCCCCAGGTCTGACAAGCGCCACCATTGTGAATGAAAAGGGCCACGTCTTTGGTAAATGAGCGCACAAAGTCGAAAGTCCTTTAGTGAAACAGTAGGTAATACCTAGGTATTACCTAGGTATATACTACTAGGTATAGAGGCATATATTACCTAGGTATATATTCTTGAGAGTCCCATGGACTGCAAGAAGATCAAACCTATCAATTCTAAAGGAAATCAGCCCTGAGTGCTCACTGGAAGGACATATCCTGAAGCTGAGACTCCAATACTTTGGCCACCTCATAAGAAGAGAAGACTCCCTGGAAAAGACCCTGATGTTGGGAAAGATTGAGGGCACAAGGAGAAGGGGACAACAGAGGACGAGATGGTTGGACAGTGTTCTCGAAGCTACGAACAAGAGTTTGACCAAGCTGCGGGAGGCAGTGGAAGACAGGAGTGCCTGGCATGCTCTGGTCCATGGGGTCATGAAGAGTCGGACACGACTAAATGACTAAACAACAACAACAACATTACCTAGGTATATATACCTAGGCATTACCTAGGTATATATGTATTCTGTTTTTCTAGCTTGATCAAAATTATTTATTACCATATTTTTCGCTCTATAAGACGCACCAGACCACAAGATGCACCTAGTTTTTGGAGGAGGAAAACAAGAAAAAAAAAATCTGAATCTCAGAAGCCAGAACAGCAAGAGGGATCGCTGCGCAGTGAAAGCAGTAATCCCTCTTGCTGTTCTGGTTTCTGGGATAGCTGCGCAGCCTGCATTCGCTCCATAAGACGCACACACATTTCCCCTTACTTTTTAGGAGGGAAAAAGTGAGTCTTATAGAGCAAAAAATACGGTATTTCATAACAGGTAGATAGTTAAGAGCTTAGTGCCTTAGTGCAGCGGGTGCCTGGCACCCCTCAGAATTCAGCGCCCGGGTGCCCTGCGCCCCTTTCACCACTAGGTAAAGATAACCCTGTTCAGCTCCCTTGGAAACCTAACGGGGAAGCAAGATCTGCTGGGGTGTTAATTCTGCGAGCTCCTCCATACTATGCTCAGGCTGTATATATGTGTAACTGAAACGATATATCCAAAAGACTCTGTGGTCTCTGTTGACCATTCCAAGGAAACTGAATCCCGAGGAAGCACAGGAACCCCTGGAGTTTCTTGCTGATTAGAGGTTGGAGCGCCTGTTTGCATCTTTTATCTAACTTTCAAACTCTTGTGGCATATATTGTGCAGCCACGTTCGATGTTTTTGTACATTTTATTTCCTAAAATAAGTTTTTTAAAAGTAAATAATGTGCTGTTTTTATTTCTTTCTCATAGCTGCTTTGACTAGAATGTTTCAGAAAAGCAGGTTCGTTCAGTAAGACAAATATATGTTATGATCAGAATGGAATCTCCATAAAGCGTTATCCAGGAAAGGAATATCCTGCTCATGCATGGTTTTGGCAAGGGCGCTAAAAAATACACAAATAGTTAATAGTTTCTCCTTCTGGCCCATACAGGAAGGACAGAACAAAGTCTGGCCGGAATTGAGGGATTTGCAGCTGGGCCAGCTGTGAGGAATTAATTAATTGATCCCCGGTCACATTGTGGACAAGGAGATCTATGGGGAGCTGAAAGATGGCCTGCAGGGCTCCACTCCTCTCTTCTTAAAAGGGGCTTAGCTCTAAGGAATGTTTTCTGAGTAAGCACAGCATCCTTGAAAACCCAGGAAAGGAGACTTTGATTAAACATTCAAATATTGATTAAACCCTAGGAAGAACTTTTTCAGGGCTAAAGCTGTTTTGACAGTGGAACAGACTCCCTAGCTGGTGGACGGCCCTAGGATCATTAGAGGCTTTTAATCAGAGGTTGGATGACCATGTATCAGGGATGCTTTAGCCGAGATTCCTGCATTGCAGAGAGTTGAGCTAGATGACCCTTGAGGATCCCTTCTGAATCTACAATAAAGTTTAAATTCAAACGGTATTTATCAACCTGTCTTAGATTTGGAGTTGCCAACATTTCAACCGGCGACTCTAGTTGTGAGCTTCGTAGCAGGTAATGATAGATAATGTTAGTGGGTGTTAACATTTCTTTTTGTATTTGGAAAGCTTCAGCTTGTGATATTCTTGCAGACAAAGTTTCTGATAAAGGCACAAGAGCAGGCTAGTTTTCCACCCCCATTGGAAAACTGGCACGCCCAGCCCAGCTGGCAGTGAGTGTCATTGGCAGTGTCTTGTGGAACTCTCTGTCAATAGAGATTCAGTAGGCGCTTTCTGTTTCTTTTAAATGCCTGCTAAAAACTTTTCGATTCCATCAGGCTTATGCAGGCAATTAAAGAACATGTACAGTATTTCCATAATAGCTGGCTGAGCTCTGATTCTAACTTTTTGATACTTTTTAAAATAAGTACTTCTTTTTTTCTTTTTGAAAAAAAAGGTGCCCGGTGCTCACCATGATGTTGTTATAATATATGAGCCACACTTTTAACATTTGAAAGGGAGAAAAAGAGTGCCAGTGCCCTTGGGTACCCCCAGAAAAAAGCACTGGTTTTTATTGCATGAATTTATTTATAATTGTTGTGACTTATTATTATTATTATTATTATTATTATTATTATTATTATTAGCAAAATATAAATATTATTATAAATATTACCGAAGCAAAACAGTCTACCCTTCAGGAGCTGATCTCTGTGTCAGTCAGTCAATGTTTGTTACGGCAAACAGCCAGCATATTAAACCAGAAATTCTGCATAATTCTCTACATAAACAATAAAAGCGACTGATACGGGGTTTTAACAGTCAATATACTAATTAAGTGTACTTAAAATACGTGTCCAGAGGAATAAAACACCATAAAAGAATAAGAGATTTAACTAAGAACTGTAGCGGTTTATGGTGATCTATATATGTAATGCATCCTTAAGCTTTATTTGATGAGCTAGCATTTATTTAATAAGGTGATATGGTCATCCGTATATCAGGGGAAGCTAATCTAGTGCCCTGCAGATGTTTTGCATTTGCAGCTCCCATCAGCCTCTGCAACCAGCTTGACTACTGGTGAGAAATGTAGTCCCAGCAGCAGCTGGAGAGCCACAGGATTTACCACTCCTGCAGTAAAGAAGGTGTTGGACTTTCCTTCATTGCTATTTTTTAAACAGAAGCTGGATGATCACCTGTCAAAGGCTCTTTAGCTGTGATTCTGGCATTGCAGAGGGTTGGACTAGAGGACCTTTGGTGTGCCATCCTTCCAACCCGACGCTCTAGGATTCTGTGTTCCAGTCTGGTACCCAGACAACGAGAGCTGATATCCCCACCGGGCAAAAAAGGCAATTGATGATTTGCATGCTGAGATGGAAGCAACACTGCAGGGTGGGGACAGGTGTGTGTGTATGCACGCACCCAGTGTTTTCTTAACCAGAGCAGCAGCTGCATCTGAACAGCACAGCTCAGAGTAGCACCGTCCAACAGTTGGGCTTTCCCTTGCCTCCGCCCCAGCTGTGATTTCCAGAAGGGGATGCTGTGCTGCCACTGCTGAGAGAGACAGCTGGTACCCACCCCGCTCGTTTAAGGCTGCATCGTCAGATCCTGGCAAGCATCTTTCTACAACAGCAGAAGCAGGGAAAGGCTGCGAGAGACAGGTGGATGCATGCAGGAGGCAGCGGGGAGCAGCTCTTCGCCAGTGGCAGCAGGGAGAAGTGGGGAGGTGAGTAGCTACTAACAGCCGGCTCGGGGAGGGGGGGGGGAGCATTTGTTCTTATTCAAGGCGGGAGATGTTCTCTTTGGGAACAATATGGATGTTGTCTAGGAAGGGTGCGCAGCCTTCTGGTCTCCTGGGTTGTATTCAAGCGGCTGCAATTTACTCTCAGCTGTGATACTCTCTTAAGTTCGACAAAGGGCCAGCCTGGGTTTTTATTCAACCCCACTCCCAGCAACGAATGGACTAAAGGGACTGGGTGGGGAATGGTGTGTGTGCATGCACAGAACTTGTCTTTTTCCTACAGGTCCTAAGGAATTCTGGGGTATGTGCTCCAGAGGGCTGTTGGTCATCAGTTCTGCAGATGTCCCCCTCCCAGTATTATGGAGGAGTGCATTATAACCCCCTCCCAGGAAGAGTTCTGACTTTTTTCCCTGTCTGTGACTGATCCTGGTGATCTTATGCCTTTTGCAGCAACCTGTCCGTCCATGCCCCATAACATGCTCCCCGCCACTTGGCTCAGTGATGGGGAATATGTGGCCCTCCAGGTGTTGTTAGATGACAGCTCCCGTGGCCATGGGCTATGCTGGCAGGTACTGATGGGAGTGTAATCTAACAACATCTTTAATTTTGCTCCACAACTGGAATAGCTTGTATCTGCTGGTTTTGCATGCTGGGTGGCTGTTCTAGGTGCAGCAGCAGAGTGAGTTAAAAACAAACATGGCAACCCAACTGGAAGTGACCCTCTCTGGAAAAAAAAACATCCCCCATGAAGTGTGTGTACTTTTTACTCCAAGTGTTTCCCTGCCAACAGTGTAAAAATATGCATCACGGTGTTTCATGTTTAGAATATTTAGAATCTTTTTTCTCAGAGACTCCTAGAAGCTTGAAATAAATAACTCATCATGCAAATTAAGGCAGTGGTCCTCCTATGCAGGTTTACTTGGGAATCGGCTCAGTGAGTATTATCTCTGAGTAACAACAAGGCATAGGTTTGGGTTGCATGTGTTTCTGCCATAAATTAGTACCCCAAAATCTTCTACACAATATTTTGTTTATCGTCTTACAATCACCAGTCAGGTTTGCCAACATCTTTACTGCTCTTTGTTACAGTACCTTTGGTAACAGTTTGATTCATACGCATTGACAAGTATAAATCTCTTTAGGTGGGTTTTGATAGCTTTTTTCTTCTGTCTGGTTTTTCATGAGTAAATGCTGCTTTATATACTTTTTATATTTAATTCTCTGGTTGTATTCTTGTTGTGTTCTAATATTGGGAGCCACATTGAGATAAATTTTTCTATTTTTAAACAGTGGGTAAAAATGACTTAAATGTATAAATAATGATAATTTCCATGTTGTCAAGTGTTTCACTTGCTGGTTTCTATAGCTGTCATTAAAGGCAGAAGAGCATGTCAGTCCTTTCCCCCCTGCTGAACTGGCAACCATAGCCAAAGTCCATTGCGACTAACTACCCAGCTAGATTGATGTAGGAATTCCGTGTTTGGAGCTTCCAACAAATTTTTCTGTCCTCAGAAATAATGGTGTGTGTGTGTGATTTGGATTGGGGCCTCTGTGCAAAAGGAAGAGGTCAGGTCCTGGCCCCTGTGCTAATTCCCCACATTAAAGCAGTCCATGGAACACAGGAAGACATGAAGCTGTCCACTTTGGTGGGAAGCATACAGCCCAATTCTGCATGTTTTTACTTTGGAGCAAGCCTAGTAAGCTCAGTGAAATTTCTTCTTAGTAAGGCTACATAGGATTGTTGCCTTACAGTGCAGTCCTTTACATTTCCTTTCAGAAGCAAGACCCATTCAGTTCAATGGGACCCTTTCCTAGGTCAGTGGGTATTGGGCTGCAACCTGTGAACTGACAGTTTTAGGTAGCTTGGGATGAACTGAGTCGATGGACCATCCATACTGGACTGTGGTTTGGTTCTGTTTTGTTTTTGAATTGGTTTACACTGGGCCATCTGCACATCTTCTCATACTGGGATTTTGTGTACAACTGCTCCTATTCCATCATAAGCACTAATCATTATGAATGCACACTAAAAATCATGTTTGGATACCCAGTGTCATTGGTGGACTGTTCTCCTGCAGTTGTTCAACAGTTGGTCTATTGAAAAACTTGACAGAACATTTGGAGAATGTTCTCCTAAGTCCACCTTCTCCAACCTAGTGCCCTCAAAATCTTCTGAGACTCCAGCTGGAAGTCTGGAGAGCTACAGGTCCCCATCCCAGATCAAGGTTGTATCAAGACAAGCAGGGTTTTCCCCACCTTGCAATCTGCTAGCAGGGGAATATTTATCAGTCAGTCACTACTTGAAGGGCCATTCCGTCCACGTTCTGTTTAAATAACTGCAAGAAGGGAGACCAGGAGAGGGGCTCAAAGTGGTTAGCACCATCAGTAGTGAACAGCACCTGGGCAACTGACTAAGCAGGTACGCACAACGGATCACCTGGTTATACTCTTATTCCCCACTATGGTGAGACATATCATGTTTCTATTTAAATTATAGTAATTATTTATAATTGAACCTATAAATTAGCCTCTTCAGTTTTATGCAACTCTCTTTTTGTAGTGGGGTGTGTGTGAATGCGCTTCCTTTTTTTATTTTGGCCGCATCTGTGACCACTCTACTGCTGCACCGTATGCAGTACCTTTGCCCTTCATAATGTGGTTTCGTGCAGCTTTAACCAGATAATGAATCAGTTGAAACTCATATGATTAACTGATGGAGATTTCCTAATTGACTGGGAGCACGCTTGGCTACTGATAGATCTTGTGCCATACCTCTTTCTGGTAGCATTGCCAGCTTATCAAGGGGAGTGGGTGAACTTGTAGAAGGATGCAAAGTAGCAACTGTTCATGATCATAGAATTGTAGAGTTGGAAGGGACCCCAAGGGCTATCCAGTCCACCCCATGTAATGCAGGAATCTTTTGCCCAATATGAGGCTCAAACTCACGACCCTGAGATTAAGAGTTTCGTGTTTTACTGGCTGAGTTGTGACATGCTACCTCCAGGGTCAGAGGCAGCCTGCCTCTGAATTACCACTTGCCGGGGTTTAGCAGCTGGAGAAAACTATTGTGCTCAAATCCTGTTGGTGGGCTTCCTTCCCAAGGGCATCTGGTGGCCTGCTGTAAGAAGCAGGATTTGGACTACGGTATATCAGCCTTTGGTTTGTTCCACCAAGGCTGCTCATATGCTGTTATATCCAGGAAATAGCTGGTTTGGCTGATTTTCTCAATTGAACAGCAGCCAGAGCCATTCCCAGGTACTTAAAAGATTTGAGACCTATGGTCATAGGCACAATTTGCAGAAAATTTGAATATGCTCATTTGTATTGTGGGTGCGAATTTAGAATCTAAATGTCACAGAAGGCAAGCCAACTGACTGCCCATCCAAATCACCCCAAATAAATTCTTCTTCGGTTATTTTGCACTCTACCCCCAAACCAGTTCCTTTTCCATTCATTTGCCCCAATTAATTTCCCAACGGATCCTGTTATAATTCAATTTTCTTTCTGTTGCCCCATTTTGTGCCCCCAAATCATCTCTAGATAAGGTGATCTTAAATTTATTTTACCAAATTAATATTCTATGCAATAATTCAGATCACCGCTGCCAATTCACCACCCTGACACACACACACACACACACACACACACACACGGAACACTTGGGGCACATAGGAAAAGATTTGGAGCCTATGCCCCATATGATCACCCCTAACAGCAGCCAGACAGGAGCTGGAGAGGTAGGAGTTAGCAGGTGAAGCTTTACATGGCATTTTCATCTGCTAACCTTAGGAGATCAGGCTGTTGTTAAAAGCACAAAAAAGCAGGGGCCGTTCGAGAAGTTGGCAAGCTTTCTTTTCATTCCATTCCTATGAGGTGCAGCCAGATCCCACACAGGTGTATCTGTAGGTAATATTCACTGTATTCAGTATGGTCTGAGTTCTATGGAAGTGTGCAGCCTAATCCGAAATATGATTATTCAGAAGTAAATCCCATTGAGCTCAACGGGGATTGTTTCTTAGTAAACCTGTTTAGGATGACAACTTTGGCTAGGCACAATCCAGCCAAAAGAACTCTTAATGCCCAGTGATTTCAGTGGGAGAGAGTTAAGCATCTGTTTCACTTGTGGAAATCAGTGGGACTTGCACTCAGGCAAATTTAAAGACATTCTTTATTTTTGCAAAGCTTTTCCAATTACACATTGATTTGGGGTGGAGAGTAAAACTCTAATAACTAAATCCCCCAGTACTAGAATTTAGCCATGGCGTTTTCATGAAAAAGTACTTGTATGAGCACATACCTACCCAAAATGCCAATTCTCCACAACCAGTTTGCACAGATCAGGAAGCAAGACCGGTCAATCCAGTTCTCATCCAAACAAACTGGGTCCAGAAGACCTCTTCTTCGAAATGAATCACTGAAGGTCACACGGCTGAAATTCCTGTGGGTAGGCAGTTGCAGAGTAGAAATCCATTCCTACTCCACTAACTTAACAAAGCTGTATCCACAACCTTGTTTTGTAGGGGTGGGGAACCAGTGACCCACAAGCCAATGTGGCCCCCGGGGGTGGTCTCTATCATTGCCTCCTCCTTGTGCTGCCTGACACCCTGTGCAGGTTTTAGGCTTGAAAAAAGTATTCTACTGGATCCATTAGGATTTTTTTCCGAAAATACTATGGAGCATGGAGGTGTTTGCAGAAGCATCACAGCTGGGGAGGAAAAGGTTAGACCAGGGGTCAGCAAACTTTTTCAGCAGGGGGCAGGTCCACTGTCCTTCAGAACTTGTGGGGAGCTGGACTATATTTTTTTTTAAAAAATGAATGAATTCCTATGCCCTACAAATAACCCAGAGATGCATTTTAAATAAAAGCACACACTCTACTCATGTAAAAATATGCTGATTCCCAGACTGCCCACGGGCTGGAATTAGAAGGCGATTGGGCTGGATCCAGCCCCCGGGCCTTAGTTTGCCTACGCATGGGTTAGGCT